CAGTGAGACCTCAGCAGTAGTTATGTGTCTATTGATTTAGTAATTTATTTAAAAGGTATACTCAAAATCAATGACTCCTCCATGAATTTTCAGCTGTAGGACAGCCTAAATGACTCCAGTTAGTCACCACTGCTCAGTGCAGAGAACTGCTGTGAATTTATGAGGCAATAAGTTGCTAGAAAATAGCATTTGTGGTCACTTGTTCTCGCCTGGGTGTAAAAGTAGAATGAAAGTTCATTTTGCCACATTACAGACAATGAATTAGCCACTGACTGAGCACACATTCTATTTAAACAATTCCTATCACGCCTTCAGTGTCTGCTCTGTCTAACCTCTCCCAAAGAGGTTATCTGGAGCAAATTGAAATTGCTTTCACCACTTGAGTGCTAACGGTTTTAAGGATGACCGCGGGGTCAACAGCAGCTATCAAGAGTACCATCTCTTCCTCTGTTTATGGTCTGGTAAGCCCTCGCTGGCTTCCATAAACAGGATGTTAAAAAACCAATTGAGGCTATTTAGGCGACTCACAAAGCAGTGTTTAAGCAAGATCTGAGAGCGTTGGCTGGTTAAATGTAAATGTGGAAAAGTAATTATATAATGCCTTTACAGGTTACAAATAAAAAAATACCTTTAGAGCTGAGATCAAATGTGTTGAAGTAGTCAGGTTGTGCTTTACCCGATCTAACCAGTAGAGGAGGATGTTGATCCACTCTTTACAGGCTCTAAAATGAATTTCTAGTGGCTCAAATCAACTCTAAATTCTGTTAATGTTTGACACTTAAATAATTCAGAGAATACTGTATTTAAGTGAAAAGAATTTCCTCATTTTCCCACTTTATGCACTTTCTACTTTCACTTGTTCAAAGTTACTCCACACTTTCATTGCACCAAGCCTGACACTTAGCCCAAGGTCACATTTGCCTTTGAATGTATTCTTTCCCCTCGCCCCCCTATCAGCCTCCCAATCCCTGTATCATACGGCCAGGACTGTTAATGTGGCACCAGGGGGCAGCCACTGGAAGTCACTGCAAAGTCATAACTCTGAGTCAGCTCAGTGTAGAGACCATTACAAAGACTCAGACGAACCAGTTGTATATTGTGTATAAGTCACCAAGATTTTACTTTCATTTAATTTGTGATCCAAAAGATTTTTTCTTCTTTAGAGAAGTGGGTCAGCCGATCTCTATTGTATCAGCGTATATGTCATCCAAAATGCGCCAAAGTAAACTGTTTTTGTGTTGTACTGCAGAAAAAATGCACTATACCGCTGTCAATGCAAAGTTTATCCAGCATTAAATTTCCTAGTGCCGCGCGCATCCCAGCAACAGAAAAACTAAGACTAAACTTCCTTTTCAAAGTAAAAGCACTGTAGTAATATTTTATTTAACACAATTTAAATTCTCTCTCTCTCTCTCTCTTTCTGTGTCTCTATTGGGTTAACAAACCATGTGACAGCCTTCTGGTTACCATTCTTCACATTTACATTTAAATGGCATTGTAAATTAAATGACATGAAATAGGATTATACAAAGGAAAGTGTATGGGGAACCATAGGCCTGGCAGCAGCAGCTCCGCAGCTGACATGCTCTCTGTGTGAACGCCGCACGCATGTCAGGCACAGCCGTCACGGGCCGTAGACGCCACGAGCTGCTCAGGCGGCCTACGTGAACGAGCCATAAAAGCGAAGAAGCTGCTCTCAGCAATGTCGATAATTGGTTGTATATGTTAAATTATTAAACATGTTCAAGAATATTTCACTTGAATATTCTTTCATTTATTCGTTTAAGAAAGCAGCCTTCTGAGGACCTTTAGATGTGTATGACTGAACACACACACACACACACACACACATAAAAAAACCTTTAATTTGCCCAGTCCTTGCTTGCTCATTAATGATAATGAAGGTGACCCAGCTAGAAAATTCAATTCCTGTCTAATTATGTTGATTCTCTCTCGACTTCCACTTAAATGAAAAGGCGACGCTTGAAAAGGGAATAAATCTGCACTTTCAGTGTGTTTGTGTCAGCAGATATTTGCCCTATGGGTAGTCTGTGCACGTGCTTCCTTAGAAAAGTGCTCAAAATTTTATACCAAGAGAAGAAAAACGGATGTGCATAATCTGCAATGTTAGACCACCTCAGCTATGTATGGTACATATATATGTGTGTGTGTGTGTGTGTGTGTGTGTGTGTTTAAAGGTACATTAAAGGTAATGTGTTAGTTAGAATACAATACTTGCACAGGAAGAAAATTCTTGTTCACATGCAATGATACCATCATCACTGCTTTTCCTTCAGAAAACAGTAGAGATAAAATACTTCACTGATACATAATACAAAGTGACATAACGAGCCCAATGTGATGCAACACATTTCTTTACTCGGAGGTCTGTGGAAGAGGGGCGCTTCTTGTTTGTTTCTTTGTGGACCGCACTCCTTTCAGTCGCACTAACATAGCTCCACTCATACATTGTTCTCCACTTTCTCTACGTACATTAGCAAGGGATCCAGCATTGTTTGCTGGCAACTCTGATTGTGGATGAAAGCATTACGTAAACCATTGATGGGAACAACAGTAAACAAGTATGAAAGCAGACCAGCAGGTTTGGGGACAATCAAACTTAGGCTGGGACTCAAACAAACAAACCCACTTTGACACAAGTTGCTTAAAAGGATCATATTTAGGCCTTTTCAAAAACATGTAGGAACAGTGCACCAATGCACAGCCAGCTGTATTTAACAGAAGCCGTGTGGTTGCAGGCAACATGAATCAAAGCAGCATGTCTGCAGCACATTGCACCTTTAGGTGATATACAGAGCAGAATTCAGCAGATGTATATTACTAAAATATGGAAAACACCTACAGTAATACACACGACAAGAGATGCCTTCACAAGTAGGGAAAAAGGAAACCAGAACAGGTGGAGGATGGGATAAATCAACACAACTGGCAACAACACAATGTAAATCAGATAAGTGACGAGTGATTCTCAATTTCACCGTGTTTGTGTTTTTTCCTCTGTGTGTGTGTGTGTGTGTGTGTTCGTGCATGTGTCTTTAGGAACTAGAAAATGAGGTCAGTAAGTAGGGAACAGGTGTTGGCAGGCGGGCTAGGATCATCGGATGGCCCTGGTATGGGACACGTGGACTTCAGTCTCAGATGTCCCGTCTGAAAAGAGAAGTTAGGGGATGGAAGACGAGGAGGAGAAGAGGTGGGAGTGGATGAAACAGCGACAGAAGGACAGGAAGAAGAGAGAGGACAGTGGAGGAAGGTGGGAAAAAAGGAGGGGGGTGGAAGTAGAGAAAGATAAAGAGCAGAGAAGGGTGCTGGGTGGGTAGCAGAGGAATGACAGGAAAGAGCTCAGCATGAAAGATCATCACCAGTTAGAAACTGTGCCAACGTGCATCTTGGGGAGAAGAAACTACTCTGCATAGAGATGACCCTGATCTGTTGGAAAGACTTAGCGATGGAGGGATGGAAGGAGGAGTGGACAGTTGAAAGGCTGTTCTGATCTATTTTTGGGCTGACCCCACCATCCCCCATCGTACCGGCGCTCCGTGAAACCGGACCTCAGGCCCGTCCCTCAGAGAGGGAGGGTGGGCTTGATGTGAGAGGGCGGTCGCGCTGAGTTTTAGTAACAGGGGTCATAACGGACAAACTCACTGTGTGAAGATTTGATCCTGAGCTGCATCACCGGTTTGCAGGCAGACTCATTCTCCAATGTATGTGCAACATGTGTACAGATGCTGCACACAGGATGATATACAGCCACAGAAAATCATCCACCCGCAGAGAAAAACAAGCAGTCCACCACTAGTGGTCATAAATTATTATATTCGCCATGAAAAAGTTCAAACGTGGGCCTTAATAAAATAAAAAAAAGGGCTCACGATGAGTAATACACCGGCTCTTTGCTGAGACAAGAGAAGCACAGATGCCTATGATAAAGATGATCATTACACTCATGTCCAAACACATGCAGGCTCTCTGCCACTGACAGGGACACAGATTCTGTTGTTCTTAATAAAAAAAACATTCTCTTCCTCACAAATCAGTCAACACTTCTCATAATCTACGTCTTTAATAAACGCATCCTGCTCTGCATGATCAGACTATTACAAGATTCCATCAATCAGTTTTACTCCATAGGCTGTTATCTCATAAAAAACTGTGCTTAGATTGAATGTCTGTCAGCCCATTTGCAAAAGCAATCAACTTGAGCGTCTGTAAAAAAAAACAAAAAAACAATTGCCCATAAAAGAAAGCACCCTATAAAGAGTGACCCTGAAAATAATCCTGGACGGGCTCACTCTCTCTGCAGACAACACACACACACAATGAACAGTGGATGCTGATATTGTTCTGCTTAATCTTAGCCCTCTCCTATTCTGCCTTTGCACCCACGCCTCGTCTACTTACTCCTCCCACACAAACACACACACACACACACACACACACACACACACACACACACACACACACACACACACAGAGTCGTGCCCAGAATAGACTAATCTTATGTGTGACAGTACAGTAACTAATACATCCATACAGGACATTTGTGCTTTGCCTTGCACTTTCTTACATACTGTGTCTTAATATCTGTGACACCTTTATTTACATTACCCCGTGGGCTTCACCGTTACCAGTGTGCAGCGGCATCTGTGTTAACGTCTTAACACAAGGAGCCTAAAGTAACTGTTCAATAAGGCAATAAATATTAGATTAGTGGTGAGTAAGTGGAATGTCAGAGGGAAGGCATTTTGAAAACAGCAGCCATGCCATCAAAGCTTTTCCAATGGCCCCCTCTTTTGGCAAGAAGTAGAAGTTGAAGCACCTGGCACCTAAACTGCTGACACAGACAGAGAGGTGGTATGCTGGATATGTAGTTTACCACCCTGAAATGACTTGCAATTACTGTATATACGTGACACTGCTTATGTTTTGTTGTTAGTTATGATTGTTGTCAGTAGAGACTGTTTTGGCTTCAAGCTGGTTACCTGAAAGTCGGTGTTGCTTGGTGCTCACTCGGTTGGTGTTTTGGACCGTGCAGCAGAGGTGGAGCATGGCGAACATGGTGATGATCATCACCACACTCTGGAGCAGCAGGGTGAGCTCAAACTGCTTCCCTATCCTGCCAGGACGCAACCAAAACACCAATCACATTCCAGAGAGAACCTACAGAGTGCAATCTAAAAATACGGCACAGAAGACAAATGAATATGCAATAATAATAATAATAATAATAACAAATAAACAGGACTGTTCTATCCTATTCTATGGGTTTTATTACAGAACATGTCACATAGGCCAAAAGCAGCACAGAAAAAAATATATATATATAAATAAATAAAGAATCTATATAAAGAATCTATTCAATTCCCTATTTTTGTCCCTGCAGTCAGAACAATGACCTGTGCTCACTGATGCGTATAACAATTTGAGAAGACGCCTCAAAGTGAACAGTTCATGGCTCAGATTATATAATCAGTCTCATTTTACTGTGTTCCTATTCCATTAATTTCTGACACCAAGACTGATCTGAGGAATGACCTTGGAAATGTGCCTGTGCCTTTAGCTGGGAAAAAAAGAAGAAAGCAACAAAGTAGACAGAAAATATCCAGAACACAGTCCTCCGCCTGTCTTCCTCACCAGAAGAAGATGCGCAGGATGTTGGCTATGAGCAGCACCAGGCAGACTCTGGTGGAGAAGCCCTCGCTGTTGCTGCTCCTCTGGATCTCCTGGTACTGTGGCACATAGGGCAGGGCTCCCCCGAACACCATGAGGCAGGACGCCAGCCAGGACAGTAAAGTCCACGACCCCTCCATGTCCTCCTCCTGCAGAACCACCTCTGCATCCATCACACTGAGAGACGCTCAGGGGTGTCCAGGGGGGTCGAGAGGTTGCACCTGGGAGGCATAAAAATGACAGGTCGCAGTCAAAATAAGTTCAGAAGAGTTATGACTTTTGCTTTTAGATGTTTGGAGGTAATCAGAGGTCAGTAACAGAGGCTGAAATTAACATTCCCGACAGAGCCCGACAGCAGTAAAACATATTAAGCTGGTAACATTTAAATGTCTGAGTTATGTATGGACCAGTTTGTTTTAAATAACTGTCCCTGCTGACTGCACAATGCGCTCTCTCACCACAAAAAATCTAATGAAAGCAAGACAATGGCTCTGGCCTAATGGCCAAACTTATGCAAACTTAAACACAGAAGAACTAAATGTATATGCAACATTAGACCAATAAGCTTATCACTGTAGGAAAAGTACAGATGTAAAAAAAAAAAAATACAATTACTGATGGCTGAACTACAACTAGCTGCTTCAGCATCAGGGTCTGGGTATTGTGCATTAATGCTTTTAGTACTGCTGTTCCTGATATTACAGGTGAGAATGTGTGCTGGTAAAAAGACCAGTTTGTTTAGGTCATTATTTCTCAAACCTTTTACACCACACACCACCTCGCCAAATATTAGGCTCTCCAGGTACCACCATTATGACCGATGTTAAAATACAGTAGTGCAGGCCGACCGTAGGACAGAGGGACGGTTTATTCCTAATAAGAACATTATTTATTGTTGACTGTTGTCAGCCACAATCACGCATACAAAGGGGTAGCACTAGAACTGGCACTCAAACTCTTCCACATAACTCTCATACAATACACAAAGTGTAACTAATCACAGATGTATCCGAGTTCAGTTGTAGTAGCAGGCTCATATGGAAACAAAAATATCACAGGAAAGGAAGGTTAAGTATTTTCATTCAGAATTTTGTAGTATATTGATAGTATATGTTTTTTTAATTCATTTATTTAATTAATCCACCACATCCCACCAGTGGTGTGCCTACCATATTTTAAGAACCAGTGTAGTTTGGCACACATTAGTTTTGAGGTTATTCCTACTAGAGCATGTACTGTACATATTCTTATTAATCTTTCATATGCACAGCAGCAACAATACCATATACAGGTTTCAGCCATTGACCATGTATTGGTCTTTCTACAGTGCACATTAAAGACTGTCTGACTAAGTCAACATCTTTTATGTTTTTAGGTTGAACACGCCTGCATTACCCTTGCCCGACATTTTATTATTAAGGTTGCCAGCCCTTGGCAAATCAGTCAGAAAATAGAAAGTCACTTACTGACTGATAGTGTGTCAAAACAGATAAAATTCATTATATTTTTAATTGTTAATGATTTTCTTTGACCGATGCACGTTTTCCAATGGCCGATGTCAAAATATAATTCTATTATTCCATGCACATTACAATCTAATAATATACATGATTATCTTAAACAGTAACATATCCATCAGGATGATACTTAATTAGAACAGATTAATACAGAGCCAAACCCAAGACATTTAATTTTTTTTATCATTAAATTACACAGAGGCAATGTCTAGACCCAAATAGCTTGTAATGACCAGATATGTCAAAATATAGTTTTTTATGCTGGAACAGATGTCATATGTGCCGAAAAACATGATTTTAAACCAACATTAAATAGCTCATTAAATGAAAATGAAAAAAAGACCATTACCAGCTATTTATTCAAGGAATCCATTTATCGAGGTATCTCACAATAAAAGTGAATATTCAATCCAGAGTAAATTCTGAGTACATGTCCAATGTTCAGCAACTGCTACTAAATGTTTGTGTCTTTTTTTCCATCAATACAGCAGTTACCACCAAAAAAAAAAATCAACATATTTGGACATGATATGTGAACTTTTGCAACCATACCTTTTGCTTCATGGTAATGAAGAGCCTGGAATTTATACACATAAAAAAACTCAAAAGGGCCACCTGGATAGCTCACCTGGTAGAGCTGGCACCCCACATACCAAGTCTGAGTCCTCGCCCAGGGTTCAAGTCCGACCTGTGGCCCTTTGCTATGTGTCATCCCCTCTCTCTCCCCGCCCCCCCTCCTGTCACTCTTCAGCTGTCACTATCTGTTAAAGGCAATAAAAGCTCCAAAGAATATAAAAGAAATACCTGACCAAGCACTCCAGATGGATACAAATTTTCAGTGAAGTCTTGATTATTATTATTTTTATTCAAGCACTTTCAAGTACTTTCCAGACCCGTGGCAACCCTGACGTGGTTATCATAGCCAGTGACACGTTTGAGATGGAATTTCTATTAATTAATGAAACTGAAATAGAAATATATACTGGGTTATGCAGTAGATTTCAGATCTTGACTGGTATCTAAGGAGAGAGTGAGAAATGTCAGAAGTGACACATTTCTCTAACGCTACCCAGTAGGATTGGATTTGCTAGGATTTCATTTGGATGGGAGAAACACGTTAACATTTAGAAAAGATGATAGTGAAGAAATCTAGTCGAACGTTTACAGCTGGGTGGATGAGAGTGAGAGTAAGGGGCAAAGAAACTAACTCTCTGAACACCTTCCCAAAACTGAACACGCTAACATTGTTCCACAGATTATTATTAGGGCGGCACAATTCATTAAAATATCATCAAAGTCACACTATGTCAAGTGCAATATACAAATCACATAAGCTGCGATTTTTGGATAAAATGTGCCACAGCAGCATCATAATGAAGTACAGTAGTGCTGCAGAGATGCCCTGACCTACAAACCCTGTTTTCAAGATGTAAGAAGACATGTTTATTTGGTACAGACCCCAACAAATCTCACATCATCGTGATTTTAATCGGGTTTTTTTTCAGTAAAAATTAAAATTGAGATGCAAAAATGATGTTTCCCACTAATTGTGAATCATATTGAAATCACAATATGTGTTAAAATAACCACAATATGCAGCCCTATTTACCACACATATTATATATTAGTATTATTATTATCTTATAGACATACAGTAAACCAATATCTCCACCTCTCTGTTACAGGCAATGCTCTTTCTCCAGAGCAGCCTACAGAACAAATAAAGTGGTTCATTACATTTCAGACAATGTGATTTTCTATTACTGATAAACCTTGGAAAAGGTAATGGCATGTGGGCATTTTATGTAAGAGGCAGTATGTTGCTGTGTACACAAAACCGTGACCTAGAAATTCTGAGCAAATAGTGACACGTACAGGAAATTGGTGTGGCGTGGTTCTTGGGTGAATGTATGATTCTTCTTGTGGCTGTGTAAACAACAACAGTGAGATTTTCATTATCAAATCTGAAACACATGGCTGAAGTCATACGTTCCCATACATGTTTAGTGTCAGCTGACAAGTCACTCAGTATAGCTTAGAGAGCTAATCAACACTGAGTCTATACTACACACACTAAGAAGCTCTTCAGCCATGACAAAATAAAAAAAACCTCACCAACAGGTTCTCTGGCACTTTGTATCACACCCTGGGTATGATTGCTGCTAATAGGCTGTTTGAACACAACAGCAAATGCAGCTGCACTTGCAGCACAGAAAGTCACCCAGAAGATGAACGGGGGTCTGATTACTCATTAGACATCTGTTATTCCACATAACTCAGCTGTAAGTGAGGATATAAGGACGCCAGTAACCCAGCCAAGCCCTGGCTGCTCTGAGGGATAGTGCCAGGCGGATGGATCTGCCAAAGCAGGAGCCAATTCTCAAGTTATTTACACCTCAGTGTATGTCTCTCTGTTTATTCCTATAGAGCATTTTAAAAGGCAAAAGTAATGTAAAACTGCAGAGAAGCCTTTGAACTCATTCCCATAAAAGTATTGTTTTTTTTACAGGTTTACTTCTGTTAAACATTACTCTGAGATTTAACAATCCAAGGTGTCTTCAGCTATTTCCTTCCTCTTTCCCTGGCGGTGTGTCGCCTAAATGTGCTGTGGGACTCTTCGAGTAACAGAACAAGCCCTCTTGTGTGAGCAAAGCATAGCTTCCTGGGGTTGGGTCACTAACATGCCTAAACATATACAGATATCAAATCTGAGCTACTGGGCAACTACAGTTCAGTATAGTAACGTTATAGCTGACGAAGAAGCTGCTATTACACCGTGTGGTTACATTGTTATACAATTATATCAGCCCGCTGAGTGGGTTTAACGCGTGTAATGTCCAATTATTTTCACTATGAGCAAAACATCTCCCCCAAAAAACCCCCAAAAACAAGCGTCCTCTGGGGAAAAGTCTGCGTCTTTGTCCTGAAAGAGTCATTTTGGCTTTAAAAGGCGCGCTCACAAACACCCACCGCTCATCACGTATCGCTCCTGATACTGACTGCATTCCCCGCAAACTGTTGGTAGGTAAACCGTGGGTCACTTCCAACTTAACTTACCTTCATCCACGTTTCCTTTTCACCTTCTCAAAAACACCAACCCCCGCACACTGACTGGCACGAATGGTTTTTTTTTTTTTTTCAGCGTCCCAAAAAAAAAACTTGTGTGTTGCTCCCCAGCAGCAGCTCCAAGTTTCATATCTAACTCGCGCACAAGAGAGGAGGAGATAGGCGCGCGCGCACACACACACACACACACACACACACACACAACACACACACACACACACACACACACACACATGCAAACCGTTGTTCTGTATTATTTATCAGACTTACCAAATTCCAGCATTAAACAAAGTATGGGCGCTAAACAGGATAAAGCCTAACTCTAATAAACAAATACCACGAATGAATGAGGCTTCTTGAGGACATATAAGGTAAACAAAAAAAAAAAAAACTACAATATTCTCCCCATTAAAAACTCAATATTCCACATTCCTTAGAGCCGCGGCGCAAATCTCGCGAGATTTCCTGGATGTTGTGGAACAGCTGACCGGGCGGTGCGAGGGACTACTATCTGTTTGGAACAGTTACAGAAAACCTGGCTAGCACAAACAGTCGGCTGACACAGCTCTGTGAATTGTTTTCAGCACCGCCTGATAATCACTCACACCACAACATGGCCGAGACGGACCCCAAGTCGGTGCAGGACCTGACCAATGTGGTGAGTCGAGGCGGCGAGCTAACGTTAGCCACCGTAGCCTGACGACGGAAGGCTACCGGTTAGCATGGCCAAATGTGAGCCAGAGGAAAGCGTTTTAAACTGTGGTTATGTTTGTGTTGTTTGTGTGTTCCGTGCGTTTAAAAAAAATAGGTTTAATTCGCTTTATGGGTGTTGGGGTTTGTTTACTGAAAGCGTCCTGTTTGTCTCCATCGCGTTATGTAACTATTATGGTCATGACATCACCAAATCACAACCGAGTAACCCGCATAGCATTATATATATATATAAATATAAATATATAAATATACACTAACCGAAGTGTAACGTTACTTCTGCTCTCTCTTGTAAGTCATCTTTAAATTACTAACATTTTCCGTCATATTAAATATAAATAATGTGCAGTTGTTCTCAGCTCACTGACCTTATTCTGTTATACGGTGTTTCTGAGTGTTGTCATGGAGATAAGCATGTTAACAATCCTCTTTGGTAGTTTTTAAGTCCTATATTCTTATTTTTTTCTATGTGCTTTTGTGTTCACATAAGTCTTCGAGAAAACCTTTTAAAACATCTCCAGACCTTTTCCTTCCAGGGAGTCCCATATAAAATATTTGTTCATTTGTATTTTTAATTCACTTTAATTTTCCTGCCTCAGTACATTTGGGGAAGTTTTAAAAAGTGTTGCTCAGTGTCTTTGGGGGCCACAGACACCGCTCTGGAAACCCCAGTGATAGAGCCACTGACAGAAAACGCATCAATGTAGAATAGTATGAATTTATGGTGCATTCATTGTTCTGCACAGATGCTTGCCACAGTGAATTAATCATCTCCCCTGGTTACTGAGCTTTTACATTGTTGTCAAGGAAACTAGATACTCTTGTTATCACTGCCCTGCTGCTTTTTATTTTTTATTTTTTAAATCATTCATACACCACAGGCATGGTGCATTAGAGTAGGTGTGCAGATGTTTTTAATGTGGGTTTTTGTTAGTCATGAATAGTCCACTCACAGTTATGTCATCCTCAGATTAAACTGGTAAATGTGATGTGTGTTTCACAGGTTCAGACTCTGCTGCAACAGATGCAGGACAAGTTCCAGACCATGTCGGACCAGATCATCGGGAGGAATATCCTAACTAACAGTTTAAAATGATTAAATGTATTATAAGGTTCAGAATTTGAATCTGATCTAATAATAGATTGATGTCTCAGTGGTGATTTCCTGCATCCTCATGTCTTTCACTTCCTCTACAGTCTCCTTTCGTAGTCTCAGTGCAGGCTGACAGACATTATTTTTCCCATTTAAAAGCAACTCTGTGAGAATTTACGTTATTTATATGCCTTAACTGCTTCTCCACTTGATGAGATGAGCACGCGCATCGATGACTTGGAGAAGAACATCGCCGACCTGATGACCCAGGCCGGCGTGGAAGAGATTGAAGCAACGCCGGAAAAGGCTAAGGAGGGTCAAGGGTCATAATGAAGGTAAGAAGGAAATGCCAGTGTACCCTGATATCTTCTATTCATGCCCTATATTTTTGCTGAGCGGCCTGGTTGTGTCCCTCTTTCTGTGGACTTTGGATGACATTTAAAGCATTTATTTTAATCCTTGAATATCCATAAAGTGTAAAAACAGTCCATTAAGTTTGATATCATCTCTTATGAATGAATTCTCCTTCGTCTTTGAAGCAGTTTGCTACATGATGATTTGTTTTGTCTGTCCCACAGGTTCTTCAGTAACATGGCGTGAAGTCGGTCCTATATTCAGGAGCAGCAGACTTTTCCATTCTGAAAATGACTTCTATTGATTTGGTGTGTCGTAGTGTGAAATGCTTTTTTATATATTGAATATTGTGATAAACGGTTACAGTTATGTAATGACTTGAAAACATTATTTGTAAGCTAGAATAGTGAGATATGTCCTTCAGAACCTAAAATGCTTGTGTACAGGAATGCAAACTTACTGATTTTGTGGACCGACCTGGAGGTTATTTCGCTGCCATCATGTATCATAGTTAATTAAATCCCACGAGGTGATGGCCGTTGGGGACAGTTTTGCCGTAGCCTGTGCAGAGTACAACCCACAGGCTAACGGGCCAGTAGAGCCTCCATCCCTACCAACATGGGAAATGGGCGCAGTGAACATCTGAAGCCTGCAGTGTTTTACAAACAGCTTTTACTACCAAGCTGTGGTATGCATTCCAATTCTGATTTTCTTCTATTAAAGTTATTTAATACAATGCTGTTTGTCATGTATTACATATTAGGCAAGGTGCTGTGTAAATTTCAAAAAATATAATTAACTCTGAGGTGCTCAGTGTTTTTCTGTTTTTATTTTTTCAAGCCAGAGTTGTACTTTATAATGCAAATTATCTGGAACGTCTCAGTGTTGCATGTTTTTTGGTCTACATTGTTTATAATGTACTGAAATCATATGTTAGTATTACACTTAATGATTAACTAAGCTGAGTAATTTGGAATGTATCTTCTATAATGATCAATAAGATGTTTTTAAACTATGTAGTGTGTATGGAATTAGAGGCATTTGCAACTATGTCCACACAAAAGCATTTAGACTAATTGTAACCACAACCTTTGTCACTTCACTGCATAGAAGGAACCTTTATTCAAATTAATGCAACACAAAATGTATGAACAAAACAAACGAACCAACAGCAATCTTCAAAATAAAGTGCAAAACCCATCAAATAGAAATGAAAAGCAGTAAACAAAACGCATCACAAAATCTCATGAAGTACAACATCAGTAGTCTATGAACCTATTGTAAATGCAATATTAAAGTACTGTATGTATTATAAAGTGAATGGTTCCCCAATTGCGTCTTAGTATCAGGTAATGGGACTGAAGTTCTACAAGGTAAAAGTTAGAACTCAAAGTCTGCTTCCGTCATGTCGATGGCCCAGGCGAACTTGTCTCTTTGGCTCTTATTGTAGATTTTTTCTACAGGTACCTCCACATTCTTACTCCTGGGGAAACATAGGATTGTTAAGGATACACTGCACAATATTCTCTTTAATCCACCAGTCAATCGTCTTATAGATTTCAAAATCTTCCCTCTTAAGAACAAGCACAGAGGGATCCAGATGAAGGATATAAGCACACTGCTAGAATAACAAAAAAAAGTAATGGGCAATGTGAGTGTGATGAAATTATTTACAGGCCATGACTGACGGATTACTGACAGTGGCAGTATATTTTACTGGAAACTAAGCTATCCTACAGCAGATATGTTTTTATGTAGTGTTCTGGATTATTGACAGCTTACTGTTTGTAAGAATCTGTTTTAAAGCCAGAGTAGACAAACGGCTGTACTACAAACCTTCCTTATATCTCTTATTAAATGATCATAGAATGCAAAGTGAGTCTGATGATCTGTAAACTCATTGCTTTAACTGTGTTATTATCATACTGTGACTGCAATAGTGCTGTCCATTTGGCTATGTAACTCAGGTTACTATGGTGATTTACACTTATTAAAAGTGAACCAACTACACAAAACTGGAAATCAGGAATTAAGCACAAAATTAGCAGGCTGACTCTGTAATCTTGCTTTGTGATACAGGCCCCAGATGGAGGTCGTCCAGGTAGTTCTATTTGAAAAGAAGTTTGTTTGTGTGCTCTCACATAGGCACTCAGGTGCATTCTTAAGGCAGAAAGTATGCTGAGGTGTTTTCACTAAGGCATCAAGGTTGTTTTCCAATGTTAACAGAAAGTATTCACTCACCACGCCACGCTAATGCGTGGGTCCAGGTAGTTGAGCTTGGAGGTACCCAGTGCAATCTGTTTGTTTTCTTCTCGGTCAGTTGCCTGGACCTCCATCTTCAGCAGCTGCTCCTCACAGCGCTTCACTGCTGCCTTCTTCCTCTCCACCAGCCTGACAGAACATGTATACAAAGGCAGGTGCAACAGAGTCAGACACCTCTGCTAGAAATATTGTAGAAATAAGATTCGTATATTGGAGGGGCGTATTCTATCCACATGAGAGTGCATTTTTCTGAGAACTAGGGGTGATAGACGGGTAAACAGCCATGGTGGTTTCGTACTGAGTCCTTATTGTTTTCACAAATTATTATTTTATTCTTTTTTAGCCCTTCTATTGCCTTTATTGGATAGTGACAGCCGAAGACAGACAGGAAAGGGGGGCAGAGAGAGGGGGGATGACACGCAGCAAAGGGCCGCAGGTCGCTCCGTACATGGGTCGCCAGCTCTACCAACTGAGCTACCCGGGCGCCCCACAAATTATTTTTTTAATTATTAAATTTCTCATTGAAAAATCTCATGTAATATCCAGCAGAACCAAGTTTTCATTTTACATGCATTGCAAAATACTACATAATGTTCTCTGAAGTCTAGTCCACTGAATAGATTTTCAATCGTGAATTAGAGACAATACACACAGAAAAGCTGTAATCCATATGTGGATGTCTCACCGCACCGTAATGTTCAACTAACAATGTCTGTAATTGCCTTTTGGCTCTAGGCACAAAGACTGGAGAAAAAAAAAAAAGAACAGCAGGGAAGTTCATCTCTGTGTGTTAACAGCGGGGCTACCAACGCAGCTAACGTGGTTTCAAGCTCAAGATCTTACATTTCCTATAGCATTACACCACAGCTCATTATTCACAGTGAAGCAGTTATCCGTATTGTTTGAAAGCACTTACAACTGCAGGGTAACGTTCTATTGCTACTTGTGTGTGCGGCTTGTGATTCAGTCTTCACTGAAGAGGCGCTTGTGCTTTAGGACTGCTGTCAATCATTTTTAATTGTTTTAATGTCCACAGCTTGCTTGTTGGTTTCTTTGTTGGAACACTTACGTCTGCAGCTTGGGGTCTGAGCTGCCTTTGGCCTTGGCCTCCTTCTTGGCCTGTTTCAGCTCTGTCTTTGCTAGCGCCAGGTGTTCCTTTCGAGCATCAATCTGGCCAGGGCACATAAGGACGTAGGCATGTTTTTATATATGGAATACTGTGAGCTGAAAAATGGCATTGATCGGGCTGGAAAGGTTGTCTCTTGAATTCTTCAAAACTGTTGGAGTGACAGCAACGCCCTCCATTCTTAGGTAAATGTTAATGTGATAAGCGACTGTATGCAATAAACCAAGTAAAGCAGTTCTTACCTTGGCCTGAAGGTTAGCCATTGACTGATCAAAGGTCTTTGGCGGCGCCCGCTGGTGGTTACACAGAATAGCAACTGCTCTGTTAGCCCTGTTGTAGGACAGCAGTTTCTCTGCCACATTGTCCGACTCTTTGGAGGGTGAAAGAACAGTAATGTGTATTTAAACAGGAAAACCCCACTGAGAACACATATCTGATCAGAATTATGCACAGAAATTAAAAAAGATAAAACCCTGCTGGTGTCCCTCATGTTATTATTTCCCACCCACCATCTGCACCACAAATCTCAACCATGAACACACACACACACACACAGACACACACACACACACACACACACAGACACACACAGACACACTTACAGGTTGCTACTGTTTCATTTCATTTATTCAGATCCCTATTAGCTTCATTTATTCTTCCTGGAGTCCACACAACACACACACACACACACACACTATAACCACATGTCAACCTGCAGATTGGCTCTCAGTGGCAATCCAGAAATGAGAAGAGAGTGTGACACTTCTATCTCTGAATGAGAAACTGTGGCAGAAGCAGCCAATGGGACCCTGATAAGAGCGAGGCAGAGACACACAGCACTGGGTATAGTGATAATGTACTCCTGCCATGGCTGGAAAAGCTGGCTGATGTCAGGGTATCTTAAATCAAGCAAGCTAATAATAAAAAGTTTTATCATGGGACTCCGTGACATAAGCAGCCAGGTAATAAGATGATGATAAGAGCCAGACTGATAAAAGACTACAGTATTAAAGCTGCTGGTACTTGTCCAACTGCTGAGGAATACGAGCCAGTGCTTTAAAAGGCTATTTATGTAATGTTAGACTGCTTTATAGTAATCTGTCTGTGTGTGTGACGTACTGTTTGTGAGCTCTTTGAGCTGCTGCTGTAAAGTGATAGAGGCGTTGTATGTCCTGAAGACCTTCGCAGTCAGACCTGGCATGAGAGAACTCAGGTGCTTGTTCAGCATGTTTGTCTGAAATGGGAAATGGGAGGGAGCGGGACAAAGAGAAACAGACAAAGAACAACACATTCACATCCGCGCTGTGCAGAAGAAACACACTGTCATCACAAAACCATTGCACTGACTGAATCAAAACTCTACCACTAGGTGGCACTGTGGCATTGTGCCACTGCTGGCTTTAAAACGTCTGTAATATACCATAACAAACAAAACACATAAAATATCAGCTCAGCCTTCATTATCATCATCATCCATTAGAGCAGGAAGATTAAAAAAGATCACAGTATGATTTCCCCTTTGACATTTCTGTAGGTATTATAACAAGTTAGAGCTGTCATAGCCGGTGGTTAGATAGCCATTAGCCCCTGTCAAATGGCTGCAGCTTCAACAGAACAGCAAAAGAGATGAAACAGAGTGTAAGGGCATAGCACTGGTGTGGAAGCAAAACAAACACCAGTGTTCACTGCACACACACTGATACGAGGCACAAACATGTGGACTTGAGAGACAGATAACACACAGATTTCTAAACATAGATGAAAGCACACAGACGTGAAAACAAATGTCCACATGAGCTTGCTGGTGAGCCCACGGCTGTGGCCAAAGAAGAAATAATTCCACTGATTCTGATGAAGATTAAAATAATAATGTGATTGGTTTAATCAGAGCGGGGTCAGGACCCGGCTGACTGGGGCCACCGACTTGTATGAATGCGTGAGTCTCGCTGCAGGAGACTATTAGAAACAGGATGAGGGAGGGTTTTCATGTATACAATACAATGTTCATGCAGGTACACACATCTGTACACACACACACACACACACACACACACACACACACGATTGCCGTCGTGCCCGCTAACGAGCTACCCAACTCTGCCCCTGCAATGCTAATGAAGGTGAGGGGCAAGTAGGATAGCTCTCACCCACCAACTCACTTGGCGTGATGCACTGTGTGTGTGCACAAATGTGTGTGTGTGTTTGTGTATGTCAAGGCATTATCACAACTCGTCATTACTGCAGTTGTAATTTCCTATCTAGAATACAGGCTGCTATGCGCTGGACTTCCTCATTAACATACTGCTAGTCAGTTTGTGGTGATGGTAACTCAAATATGTTTCCATTCT